CATCATCGGTGAAATCCAAATCATCTAGGGTCTTTCCATTGGTCCAGCCAGCATATGTCTATCTTCTCGCTCCTCACAGTTTCCTGTTGCACGATCCAGTCCAGTCGACCACAATCAGGAAGATGATCGGTGATAGTAGGCGGCAATCTTGTCCTTCTCCTTCATGTCTTCACTTCAAAGGCGCACCACTGAGCTTTCCACTGTGAATCACTTGGCATGTAGCATCATCATCCTCATATAGTTGTTGAATGAAGTTGATAAAGGTTTATGGCACCAAAAGCGTAGTGTCCAAGCAGTTTCTAGGATGATGCGGCTTAATATTTGCTTGGGGTGGACAGGAGCATGAACCACACCAGTTCTTGCAAAGACTTAGGTTTCCCTTTTTTGGGAGTTTGACAAGGTGGCCCTTCTTCCAATCGGCAAATACCTTTCCTTCCTTCCTTCTGTGGCTGCTGGTTGTTTTTCTGGGCGAGTTGCAGGTGGTGGCGGTCGGTTAGAGGGTTTTTTGAAGTGGTCAGCCCATGGTTTCCTTCGTTTCTCCTCTTTGGTAACTAGGTTTCCTTCACTATCTTTCATTCGTTTCATCTGCGTTGATCTCTTTCCTCCTAGATAGTAACCTGGTTATTTGATATAATGCTGTCAGGTCTCTGTCTCTCCTACCTGCAGCTGTTCTACTTCACTTGCCAATGTGTCTTTTGTCTTTCCGTTCACTCTTCTTCACTTCTTCATCCAGTGTAGTGTTTTATAGGTTGTGTTCCTCTTTTCGTTGTTCATTCCTGCACTGCACTGGTTCATCTTGTGCTTCACCATCTTCCTCTCCGTGCTCCATCAGCTTCCGTGGAGATCCGTTCCTTGTTTTATTTCTTTTTCCTTCCTAATACGGTTATCCAGGTTTCTTTCCACATCTCTTTCACAAAGTTCCAGTGTTCTTCCACGCAGGTTTCCTGATAATATATGATTACATTTCAATATAATCCTAGCGCGTTTAGAAAATCAAAGCAAGATGTTTCTGGACGTCTCGCTGCGTAAGCCACAGCTTCTTCAGCAGAATATACGGATTTTCATTAACATTAAAATATATAGTCAAATGATACATCGAATGTGTTTAGTGAACTTAGGTCATTGGCTCGGTGATGTTCCTGTCCAACCTGAGCAATTAAGATCAGTCATTACAAGTTCATGCTTATCATTTGTCTTATCCATGGAGCGACTGAAGGTAAACTCAGTATGAAAATATGCAGAAAACCAACACATTCTGATAAATATTTATATTTCCAATAAGATAATCCAACTAACATAAAGGTTAGTGTCGCATTGAATCTACTAAACAGGGCGAAAAACAACGTAACCGATCCTAATGATTTACAAAATGAAATTTTCTGAATAAAGGATTTTTTAGTGGAAAATGGATACCCTAAAAGTTTTTGAACAACATTATCGATCAAAAGAATAAAATAGCAAGTAATAGTAATAAAGGTACCACAAAATCATGGGCGTCATCTATGACGATACCATATCGGAAAAGTACTTCTGAACAGATTAAAAGAGTGTACGCTTCGCATGGCATTAAAGTCTGTTTTAAATCTTCAAATTCGCTAGAAAAGATCTTAATCAAATTGAAAGATACAGTTCCTAAGGTGACAGAACAACTGTGTCTACACAATTAAATGTTTAGAATGTGAAGTTAATTATGTTGGAGAAAGTTGTAGACCCTTAAAAGTTAGGCGAATGAACACAAGTTATGTATGAAACATTCACTGAGGAATCAAGATGAATTAAAAAATTTAGAAAAACCATCAGCAATAGGTATTCATGCAATCGAAAGTACACATTTGATTGACTTTGAGAATGTAGACATATTGGGAAAAGGTTTCCATTTGCATAAAGAAAGAATAACTTCTGGAGCCCTCCATATGTTAACAACACCAAGTGCTATGATCAGAAAAGAAGGAATAGACTTGTCACCTATTTGGCAAATATTAGTCCGACAAAACCATGGATGCTGACCTTTTCGAATTGAAGCTACAATAACAAGGACAATTATTGACAGTTTATAAATAAAGTATAATATACTGAGTGACGATTGAACCAGCGACCACTGAGTGTAAGGTTTTTAAATCGTTTATATGGTGCCTATAGATTAAAAAGGGGTGAAAACCTCGTAGAGAGAGAGGGAATTGGAATCAGCTATTCCCTTTCTTGACGTACTGATTACGGGACGTAGCAATGGAACGCTGAAAAGATCCATCTGCAGGAAACCCACTTGGAATGGACAGCTTACTAATTTCTATAGCTGGGTGCCGATCATGAGGAAAAGAAACCTCATTCACTCACTCTGCTATCCAATACGTAATATCTGCAGGACAGACTATGTCCAAGTCGAACTTGACCTTCCAAGAGGTATACTTGCGAAAAACGGCTATACTAGCCGATTTCTTGATAAGATTATACGAGAAAGACATCCAAAACCAGTCATCAGCTCAGTTTCTAAAAACACTTTGTTCACGAATCTGGAACTTAAAGGTGATGCGGCATCAGATATCCTGAAAAAAATCATTTTTCCAGATCAATTAGTAGGACTTTTTTCTCAGCCAAACTACATTTGATCTTTACCAGTCGTAAATTGTTCTCCATTTGTGTAAGGACAATATCCATTGACAGGCCACATTCATATGTATCTATCAGTTGACCTGCTCCTTTGGAGCAAGGTACATCGACTGTACTCAGAGATTACTGTCAAAACGTGTACGAGAACGAATATTCTTGCTTGGTTCTATAAGGGTGGAAGGAAATGCAACAGAAGTTCTATCCTTGAACAGCCGATTTTACACTTAAGTCTAATTGATTCATTTAACTTTTTTTTAACTTTGTTCTAAATGAGTCTTCTTTATAGGAACTTGAAACAATAGTATCCCTGATGAATTTAGACAATTTTTATAAGATAAAAATCATCTAAGAAATACGAAGTACTAGTATTATACATCTCAGACAATCTGATCCCCCATGAATTTGTCAAGTCCTTTATATAAGAATTGAATGTGTACCACTAACACTTGAGTAGGTTAAGTATGAGTACGACTCACAATCACATTAGCTCTATTTATGAAGAAGAGACGAATAGAAGATTCCCATTTCTAAGTATATTCGGTTGTTAGTCCAGGGGAGGATGAATCGATTAGAAGATCCTTTTCGAAGGAAACAAACTAGACACTACACTTCATAAGATAAAGTTCATGCTTCAAAACAAACCGAAATGAAATATCAATACTCCATTATATTTATCAATCTACATTTGTATGTGGGTGCATAAAAGAGCAGAAGTAATCGTCATACAAATCTGAGACCTGAGGTCTATTCGTATTAACGGACTTTAAACCGAGATAGGTATTTCCAAGTATGTTTTGTTGTCCTCCTTGAGTTACTGTTCAACATCCCAAGTATGACAAAATGAAGCACATTTAGATGACACTAATCATCTAACTGCTTCCTTCAACCATTCTTACAGCTAGAAGAGAAACTGTACCTCATTGTACATACCAACAGTGTAGCGGTTACCGGGTTTTGATCATATGTGTCATAGCATTGCTCTCGTTTGGTGGAATCACTGCTTGAGCGATGTTGAGGTCAGGAGAAGGATACTAGCGAAGTCGATTGATAGAGTTGTGAACCTTCATCGACTGAGGTGGCTTGGACATGTGTTATGCATGCCGATCTACCCCTCACCTCAATGTGTCATGCTAGAGGAAGCTGGATTAAGTTGGAAGGGGGTCCAGCGTGGCCAAACCAAGACGTGGCAGCAATCGATAAAGTCTCCGGCTGCTGGTTTGAAATATGTGGAGGGATGTAGTTTGCACGGCTACGATCTCTGAGATGACGATAAGAATCTGGTTGAAGACTCTTAGTGGTATAGCTGAAAATCGGTCACAGATTAAATATTCACACTAACCGTTATCATCGGACTGCTTATTCTCTTACGCAACTTTGTCTACTTTGATAGAACTCCTTTTCTATCCACCTGTTCTTTGTATCACACTCGAAAGTATGGCAACTTGAATCAATGCACTTCTGTGTGAGGTTCTACTTTGAATTTATCTGTCTGCCAACAGTATTAGCCTTGGACCTAGGTTTGGTGCCTGTTGGCACTCATCACCAAGGCATATCTGCAACCTCAGAGGAACTAATGACCTCTGGAAGGTTCGAGCCCGTCTCGTCAAATGCTGGAGTCGGAGACACGAGTCTCCTAGCTTGGTGGGGGTCAGCAGTTCTTTTAATATTAAAGGTACGCCTTATTGATAGTCGCCACTAAACACGAAACTTTCGTCCAGTGTTTTCTGCCTAATGTTTCTAATTAGCCAAAATCGATTACTTATCATTTTCTGTATTGGCAGTTAGATTGAATCTGCTTTTTTCAGTCTTATAACATCTCTTCACAGGTTGTTTCATTCGAAATCTTTAGTTTTCACTGATTCATTTAATGCACGCAATTTTCCACATAAACTGTTGACAATTTTGTGTTTTTATCACTAATTATGTGCTTCATTTGATGAGCCTACAATAGTGCATATTTGATCCAATTTAATGTTACTTTCAGCTGCTGTACCTAGGTATGGAGTTTAACTTGTCTTTTTTTATTGTCTTACCTGTAATAACATTAAGTAGAAAGATGCAGCTAGTCTGTAAGTGATAAAAATTGTCGATAAGTCCATAATCTCATGAAATCTTAGCAGATCCAAGGGTTACATGTATGATAGACACTAGAAATCTCATTGATTTTTATGCATACACATTTCTGTATTTGTGATGTTCCTACCCTAATTCCGACTAACTTTCATTGGTTCATCCAACTGGCAAGTGATGATAGCATTGAATTTATATAAGTAGTATCCAGATAGCCTAGTCCAGTTTTTATAGTATTTTTTTCCTATCCATATTTAAACATTTTTTACCGCGGCCTATATTGTCTAATGGTAACCTAATTACATCTTTATTCTCTCTTACAGTTAGTACCGAATCTTTCTAATCGAGATACTGTTGAAATATGTCCGGAAATGTTATGTCTAACACAAGTGTTATGCAAACGAATCAGTGAAAATGGTGGTGCTGCACTACTGATTGATTATGGACATGAAGGTGAGAAAGGTGATACATTTCGTGTAAGTCTAAATTATAATCTGCACTTAATATCATTGAAATTGTGGAGCTGTGACTCATTTTTTTTGCACTCCACCTTAAACAAAGTTGTTACGATATTGTTGCTTGTGTTGTAGGACGAAACGCGCTTCCTGGATTCCACTACCGGCCACCATCCATCACTGATATATAATTCAAACATAGGTATATCCAGGCATCCTCACCGGAGCCCATATACCAATAGAGATGGATCAATTCTGTCCAGTCAACGACAGGATAATACTAGTAACCACATTAAAACTATACTCGTCGCAAAAGATGTGGCTATCATGAATCGGTGGTCTAGTGGATAACGTTGTGGCGTTTGAAGCAATCGGTCCCGAGTCCTAGTTTGAAGAACACCGCTCACCGGGTGACAGGTACATCCAACTGACAAGTCCCAAATGGAACAGAATACGCATCCTGGATTCCACTGCTAGCCACTATTCATCATAAAGTTGTCATGACTTCAAACTCCACACCACTCATCAAATTCTAGACAGCCAGGTAATATCATTAGCCAGCAAACAATGGGTGGAGCCCGCTGTCAACTATAGGAACACTCATCGATAAGTGGATGGAAAAAAACCAGCCCGGAAATGGACCAATCAAAATGTAGTTTGGAGGTTTTTGCGCGGATCTTTTGATTTCGAGTTGGTATTCATCATAGACTGACATCAGTTGGAGAACCATTGAAAACCTGGGAGCACTAGACAGCTGTTTCACCGTAGTATGAAACTTCTCAGCAGTGCGCACCCACGACTCCCCAGGGATTGAACCCAGGACTCTCAGGTTCCACGGCCAGCACTTCAGTCCATGATGAATACTAAATTGAATTAGTACTCATTGGTGACTGGCTTCAAGAGGTGATTTCTGAAGTCCCAATGAGAAGTCGTGATCGGTGGGGCAAACCTAGTGGACGTAAGGACAAATACTCAACTGTGATATTGGGTGGTGGTCGCGCTATGTAGTAAACAGACAAGTAGGAAATATGGACCATTGCATTCCGACCCACTGCCTCAATGGTAACGTGCTGACTGCAATACCTTGCGGTCCTGGGTTCGATCCCCGGCAGGGTCATGAGCGCTCATTGCTGAGGAGTCCCATAGTCTGACTCAACAGCTGTCCATTTCTTCCAGGTTTCCAATGTTTCTCCCACTGATTTCAGTCCATCCTGCGTACCAACTTGAAAATGTAGTTTGGGTTAATTACGCCTGCAGTTAGACTGACAGACGATCGACCAACTTATCAATATTATTATGATTTGACTATCTGAGATAGCTGTAGTTTGGCAGACTAGTATTTGTGCTGAGTGATGATTGAAGGTGAGATGGAAATCTGGACCGTGGTTGGATTCGAACCAGCGACCACCGGGTTACCGACCCGGTGCTTCACCAACTGAGCTACGAGGTCCGACTGCTGACCAGAATTTTATTTCACTTCAATCACCAAGGGTTTTATCCGACTACCATGTGAATTCGTGACGCGTTACTACCGCTTGTTCGTATTCACACTGGTTGCCTAGTCAGGACTTCTCATCCCAACCCAAATGTAACTGAATCAGAAAGGGGGAGCATCATATTGGCAGACTAGTATTTCTACTGGGTGATGATTGAAGGTGAGATGAAAATCTGGACCGCAGCCGAAATATTTATGTGTTTAGTTATTTAGATTCTCCTTTATAGATATCCAAACCAAGTTGGGACTTGATAGTTTTAAAACATTTGGGCATTGAGTAAATGATATTCATTATTATGGTATTTATATTTCTCAATGAATGTAAAACAAAATAAATTTGTTCCAACTTATGTTTCACTATTTAGTGCTGCTAGTAGCCTTAACAAAATTATGGTAAACTGGAATTTACAACCTCGTCCAAGCTTATAAATGATAATCTGACAAGTGTTCCTCTGCATGAGTGATTCTGCGTCGTCAGAACTGTAGAATGAAGATGATATTCATATGTAGTGTGTTATGTGTGTGTGTGTGTGTGTGAATTACAGATTGAGATTTGTATGTACACATGTGTTGATAGATCTTATTGCATGCATGATGGTTGTTAGTATGTGGGGATGGGTTGAGGCCAGATCAAACTACGTTTTACTCCCTTATTCCTATTTAGACAACTATGATTCCACTCTGAATGTGAAGAGATTCTGCTATGAGACATTCTTTATAATTTCTGCAGCATTTCTGAATAATTTCGATATTGTCAAAATCGACCTTGTGACCTGAAATTATAGCAAGTAGAGCTATGGCTGATGTGTTATCAGGTTTTTCCAGTCCTACTAGATTTCTACAGGGTTGAATGGAAGCCCTTCGGTGTTGATTTTTCCTAATTTTGATTTCAAGAGAAGTTTGTCGTATGTATATCCCGTCACAGTCTGAGCATTTTATTTTATAAACACAATTAGATTGTGAATCTAGAGGGATCTCGTCTTTGAAATGAACTAAGGCGCTTTTCAATGTGCTTGATGTTCTGTAAAACACTCTGATATTGTGATTGTTGAGCACTCTTCTAATTTCATCCGATGTGTGTGATCTGTAAGTGATAACTGTTGTTGATGCCAATGATTTAGGAGTAGTTTTACGATCTAATTTAATGTTATTTTCTAATTTGCGAATGAATTTCATCACATAATTATTCATTCTAAGTACCTTGTTCATGAGTTTTAACTCCTTGACTCTTTCATTTTCATCCGTTACCAGAGTGTGTCCTCTTCTTAAGAGACTGAAAGCAACAGAAACTTTCGCACTAATTGGATGTGATGAGTTGAAATCTGGATATTTGTTCGAATCAGTTGCTTTCCTGAAAATGGTTATACCTAAATGTCCATTTTCTTTCCGCTTAACAAGACAATCAAGGAAAGGCAGTTCCCCCTTATCCGCTTCTTTTTCTGAACTGAACGTGAACTGGGAGATCTAGAGTTCAGCTGATCTAACAATGCCTGGTATAAGTCATGCTTTAAAGATTACGAATGTGTCATCAAGATATCTTCATCATCATCATCAATATCAATATAATACCAGGCATTACTACTGCGTAACGGTACAAGTTGCCACAGCTCAGTACAGTACATCAAGTAGAAAGGTAGTGAGGTGAAGGATGAAGATAAGGGAATGCAGTCAAAAGAAATATAAAGTACGAGAAGAAAAAAGGAAGAATGACAAAATGGTGAGATTTGATATAACGTCGTTAAGATGAGAATAATGTGTGTACACATCTGCGCCACTGACATCGGTTCTGAGCCATATCCCCTGCAGTCTCCAACCACTGGCTCCTCTTGTCGCGCGGACCCCAACCACCTAGTCTGCATCGTCCTACATGGCTCAAACCAACAGTCAGAGGTTTCATACATTGTTGCCATGTTTTAGTCTGTCCACCTCGGGCCTTTTTCCAGCCTGGGCCAAAGTTTTGGCTTTAGTAAGTGAGTAAAGACACTTTCTTCGAATTTACTCATTGCGCTAAATAGCGAATAGTCACTTGCAACAAATTTGTTTTGTTTTACATTCATTAGGAAATACAAATACCAAAATCATCTATATTCTCCTTTGTTAATTCTCTTCGAATCTTCGGTCTAAATACATGTTTCAATGCATCTTCTCCATTCATTAGTTGGCTCGGAAATCATTTAGGAAGTTATTGAATGTCGGTGGCTGACAGTCGATATCCATGCTTCTTTAGTGGCTGTAGCAGTTTGAAACTATAAGAATCATGTAGTTACAGAGTTTTTTTTTCCATTCCTTTAAACTTTCCAATAGTGTTTCATTATTATCACTTATTCCTCCTTTTCCCTTTGTACGCATATATATATATATAGGGTTTTCATGCTCATAAAGTGTGTGATCCACTTATTGATCCTGGTCATATAGATCTTACATGTGACGTTGATTTTAGCCTTCTTTGTCAGGCAGTCAAGGATTCTAAAGAAAAAGGTTTGTTTATCATTGTGTTCTTTTGCGTTTACGAAAGGAAATTGATGCCTTCCTTTACATTTACTTATATTCTTTTACAATGATTGTATTTTATTTCATATATTAGTTTCATAGAAACGATAAAGATTAGCAACCTGAAATTGATGGCTTACTGAATGACCTTGACAATCGATAGCCAAACAATCAACGTAGAACATCGCACAGAAATGCATCGACCTAAGTTCCCACACTACACAACAGTACGCTAAGAACAAGCGGGTGGAAAAACAGTTATATGTAATTTGACTAAAATGTATAGAAAGAAAAGGAAGTTAGAAATCAAGACTAGCTAAAATGTTCAAGCTTCAGATGTTAAGGTGTGAATTCATGTACATCATTGTCACCGATTTTCAGTTATCTCACCAAGTATCGCCAACCATTAGTTCGTATAGTTTCGAGGACCCCAATCAAGTAGTCGATACCTACCTGTACTGTTTGAGTCAACAGTCAGACACTTTAAGGACTGGTGCCACATTTTGGTCTGGTCACCCTGAATCTTCTTCAAAACCAATCTGACCAATCTATATCGCCGAATGCAAATGAACTTTTAAAAATAGGAAAATGATTACATAAGATAATTTTGTTGCAGATGTTCGCTTTGAGATCAAAGAATTATGGACATATAACGTGGATATCACTGTTAGTAATATCTCATTGATTGACATTCAAGCAACCTCATTGGTTGTCCAAGGTCGTTTATGTAGGCATAGCGCATACCCAGGTATAGTCTTTCTAGTACGAGTGAGATAAAAAGGAAGCACAGACATTTCAAATTAAAACCCCACCTGTTAATGTTACATGGAGGAATCCTTAAAGTTGAAGAAGTCTGATTGGTGTGGTTTAAAATTGTTGACAGTGTAGACATACACAGATTCTATTCATGTTCATTCTACTACGTTCTTGTTTTTGTGTGACAAAAAGATAGCTTTACAGTCATTGGTTGTTTGGTGACCTTCAATTTTACTCTTGTTCATCTACACATTATTGGTTAGATTGTGTCTATTCGTCCTATTTTTAGTGTAAGTCATTGTATGCCTACACTATACGATATACTATGGTACAGTCAAACAATAATTTTGAGTTGTGAGTAAATATCTCTCTGATGAGCGTTTCGTCCTTTCTAAGACTTATCAGCCTAGTGTGTTTGTCTTCTAATGAGTGATGTTTTTCCTACTGCAACTCGGACCGAATACCCACCACTTCGAACACTAGAGCCACTAGTAATATCGAGGTATCCTCACAGAAGCTCATATCTCTATAGTGACCAGTCAATGTGCCTTAGTCAACGATGGGGAAGTACAAGCTATAACATCAAATCATTGTATTGTTTTATGACATATATTGTATGTACTCATCATATGCAAAACTACGAACATGGTTCACAGCTAAATGAATACGAATGGAGAGTAATTAACGACTTAGTTCTACATTGGTTTGTCTGTTATAATTCAATGACGTAAGTAACAGTATTTCAAACCATTGGCTCCTAACATCTTGAGGATGCCGACCAGAAAACCAACGCAACCCTGCTCTTGTGGAGCCAGGTATATAAGTCATTCGATGCGACTGTTATCCAAAAGGGTTCAGGAACGCTACCCCACGTGGTTACAAAGAGGTAACAATGGAGTTATAAGAAGTGCTATAATTGAACACATCGTGAACATAAATCACCCTATCTTAAAAACCTCCTTGTTTAGAGGCATCTATGAAGTGAGGAGAAACCTCTAAAAGAGTGTGTATCTTCGTATGCTTTGCATCATCGAAGCTCTTGCCATCCATATGGAGAAACCTGAACTGTATACACAATAAAAGATTGTTTAACCCCTTCTCCTTTCATGGTCTTAGTCTTCAGTGTCCTCTACTCCCCCCTCCCTTTTTCTTTCCGTCTTTCTGTTCACTTCTTAAGTTATTTGCTACTCATTTTTGTTGCTATTGCTTCAAATGATCACAATTAAGTTTCCAACTTTCTTGTTCAAACTTATTTTGATTAACATTCACTACTCATCAGTTTTTGGGTTTTCTTATAGTCTAATGACAAGTCATTTATTGACACCATTTGTGTTCCTATGCTTGACAAATCGTTTTTAACTATCAAATCCTTACACTAGAGAAATATATATAAATTTACGATTTTAGCTTTGAAAATGAAATCGCCGAAAAGAGACTCTTCACTGAAATACTTGTTCTTCCTTCAAATCATTATGGGTATATTTCACACAATCCCAATCATAGTTGACTTCAAGGACTAGTAACACGATTTGGCATGTCTTTCTTCAGATCTGTTTACCAGCTAAAGTTGCACATTAGGGTGAATGGTGGTTAGGCGTATAAAACACAAGTCTTAGTTAAGACAGGTTTATAATCTACTATGAAATACTTATAGTATCCTCAACTACGTTGGCCATGTCCCTCTGTGATCGATAAGGGTAGAGAGGATTATGATGCACTTTTTATACCCTTAAGTAGACAGTTAAATAACTCAGACAAAAAGAAGAGATTAGGGATCAGAACAAGAATACTGAGGTCATCAAAACTTGGTATTTCTCTCCAGACCATATTGTGCAAACCGAAGAATATGAATGCACTTCTGAAAATATACAGAGCGAACGCGATAAATGCTAGAGGATTCCTATAAGCTTAGCATTCTGGCCAATCAGTAATGAGTAGGTGCATAAACATAGTCTGCATTTATCAACCAATAGGAAAAATGATAAACACACTCAAGGTAAGATGGAAACGCCAAATAGGATGATTAAAGGAAAGTACTGATCACGCACTACTTCATCAAGGTAGGCCACTGAGTCATTCACTGAGAAATCCTGATAACTAACTTCATATTGAAGGCATAGTGCTGATAATTTTGGTTAAGAAGATAATGAAAGCTATGCGATAAAACTATTCAGCTGGGAGAATACAAGATCGTTTACCTGAAATACTACCCCACTATTTCAAACGCCACTAGATTCCACCCCAATGGTTGGATGATATAAAGTGCTCTTCGCAATATCTGACAATCCTAGGCTCCATACCTCGTGAGTTTGCAAGCACTCTGTGCTGAGGGGGTCCTAAGCTAAGCTTCTTCAGGTGATGTGAATCCATCATTAAAGTACTTTGAAGTAAATGTTTCATTGTTTGTTTTTTAATTATAACTTGGTGAGAAGTGAAGATGTGTCTTTCTACAAAGTGATAATCTACCTAGTTTTCTTTTACATCACCGTCTTTATATATATCTATGTTATGCTGTTTATCCTAGTAACTCTGCATGGCCCAGTAACTCAAGCCTATTTTCTCATCAATATGGGTTTATTCCATAGAATGAAGGTATGTAAAACTATCCGTTTGAAAGGATATTATGATATAGTCGTTTGTTTATTATTCTGTTTTATTTACTACAGCTAATATTATCTGATTTCAAAGAGTGAAGCAGTTGTTGTTCTTTTCCGACCCAGTTGATCTCAATTTTGACTAGAAGACCTTAATTATCCATATGATATATGTGAAGGCTACATCATCATCATTCACATAGAACCAGAGATTACTCTGTAACGGTCCAGGTTGTTACACCTCATCTCACCACATCAAGTGGGAAAACACTAAGATAAAAGATTAAACAAATAAAGAAAAATCGGACAAAAGTAGTGGAAAGTAGGAAAAGAGAGAAAGGAAGAATAAGAAAATGCCAAATTCATTTTGATGATTAAGATATGGATAATGTGTGGGAATACATCTGCGCTAATGACATCGATTCTGTGCCATATCACCTATAGTCTCCAACCACGGGTTTGTTTTGTCACACACAGCCTAACTGAAAAGTCCTAATTTTCTTACATGACTCAGACCAATAGCAGGTTTCATACACTGATGCCATGTTTTAGCCTGTAACCTTTTTCCAGCCTAAATCTACTCCAGTTAACGTTGTACGGTGGGGCGGAAGATGACTGACTACACATAACGATGTGTACAAAGGTCATCCTTCAGATATCGCCGCTGATCTCATTCTCTATCGGTAGGTGCATGTCTTGGCTGGACAGCTGATTTTCATGGTCATGACTTACCCACCGAAAGAATATCGAGAAAACTACTGATCACCCAGTAAACAAGGAGAAACTCCCTCTGCATTGTTCAGATAGATCCAAGAGAAAGACAGTAAGGCCCAGTTTGACCCTAACTAACATTCTTTTGAAGAGGGAGGTGGTATGGGATAGAGAGAAATGGCTAGTCTGGAGAGGAACCAATCAAAATGTACTTTATATGATCACTTTGTTATAGTTAGACAGACGGTGAGTCAGCCAATCAATAGGATTATTTCAAACAGCGAACTATCTATATAGGTAAGTTTTTATATAATCCCAGCGTGTTTAGAATATTCTGCTGAAGAAACTGTGGCATACACAGCGAAACGTTCAGAAAAATCTTGTTTTTGATCTTCTAAACACGCTGGGATTATATAAAAACTTACCTACATAATGAATCAACCTGACTCGGCGCTCAACTTCTTTCAGGACATTCGTAAAAGCTATGACCTGGATGTTTATAAGTTAACTATCTATGTATTAGCTGTATTTTCCTTTGTCTTAGTCTTCGGTCTTTCGATCCCAATACACGCTGCTACACGTCCATTGTGTCTTCTTCATTAATTAGTCGGGTCGGGAATCAACTAAAAATTTGTTGAGCGTTGGTGGCTGATATTCCATGTCCATTCGCCGTTAGAGACCATAGCACATAGAAGTTTTCGAAAACATAACAGTGGTCAATGGAGTCAACGATGTTGAACATGAAGGCGACATTGAATGTAGGTCGCGCTATATCATGCAATATATCGTGCTGAGAATTCCAAATTGTACCACAAATTGTTTAGAATAAAATGAATTATTATTATTATTAAAAACAGGAAACCTAGGTCCAAGGCTTCCTGCACATCTTGTCTATCTAACTAACATCTACCAGAGTGCATTGTGATGCTAAGTCGCCTAGCCTGGTGGCCATACTGCAAATTGATCGATAGGGTTCGTTCAACACATAGGGCTAAACAACATGAAGTTGGTTACCCCACTTATGACCATTCAAAAAGTGATCTATCAACAGGATGACTCACATAATGACCATTATAAACGTAAATAAAGTGCTCGATATTATTAGGAGTCAATCGATAGAAAGCCCTACTTAACATTAAGTTTCATGTCTGCTGGCCTTTCATCAGGAAATCCTGTCTGCGATCTTGAAGAAGGTTATGTTTTTCCCCGAGGGATTCGAAGCCACATGAGTCAACGTGGAGATCGAAGACTTCACTGGTAAGCTACTCATCCCAAAACAATCTACTCCTTAGAGGAATGGATTATGTACACAAATTGGTAACTAGAAGGTAGCTAATCAGGCTTTAAAGTCTTTAGTGTTCATTGTTGACCAAAATAAATCGTTCAAATTTAAGATGTGGTCACTTGTCTCCTAAGTGACATGACATTGTATTTCAGTGTTACATGCTCGGGATCGATCAGAAAAACTTGATAGAAAGATTTTGATCAGTGCTTAGCACATTTTTAAAATGATAACAATTCTAATCCATTTTATTCTAAACAATTTGTGGTACAATTTGGAATTCTCAGCACGATATATTGCAACAACAACAAAATATAAGTATATACATGCTCCTTTACAACATTTCGAATTGCTTTATTATAAAAAATTGAGTAATGTGAAGAATAGTAAAAACGAGAAAATTTCACATTGTTAGTTGAATTATTGAAATGGGATTTTTAACTGTTACAAAGTTGATGTGTGATTTCTGTTCTAACACTTTTTTCCTCACAAAATATGCGTGCCAGGTAAGGTATAGTCGAATTCTTATACTTAGCTGTACGAACATACAGTCTTATGTAGTTTCTCCTTGCATTCCCTGAGGAGATACATGGAGAGAGCTGTGAATGAAGTGGATGCTCACTGTCAGTTAAAATTTCTGTAGCTAGTTGCTTGCAGGAATTTATATGTCTATCGACTACAGTGTTAATCAGTTGGGTCAGAGGCACACCACTCACCCTGTTGACGGCCTTCAAAGCCCTACGCAACATAACATAGTCCTTTTTTAGAAGAACAGGAAAGATTAATGGGGAACAATATAGAAGAGTGGGTAAAATGCAGGAATTAATAAATTGTAAAAGAAGCAGTTGAGTTATAGCAGAAAGCCTCAGTTTCTTTATGTAATAAGTTAACCGAAAGATTTTTTTACAAGTCAACAAAATATGGGACGACCAACAAAGGTCAGAAGTAAAACGCAACCCAAGATAGTTCACACTCGACTTACTTTCTGCAGAAATACCATCTATGCAGCAGGCGTTGTGAGATTTAAGCAGCTCACATAAGTCTTGTTTACGCCTGAGGCTAAAATTAACAGTCTTTCATTTATAAGGGTTCAGTTTGAGACCATTTGCCAACTTCAGATAAGAATTCATTTAATTTAGAGCAATCCAGGGAAGAGTTGACTGGAATAGAAACCGCCAGGTCATCAGCATACTTAGTAAAACGAATTTTAACAGAATAAGGCAAATCGTGCGAAAAAAACGAAAACAGGAAAGGAGAAAGTACAGCACCTTGAGGCACACCAGCTTCAGTAAGCAATGAAGTGGAGCACATCCTTTATAGATAGTGTACTGTTTCCTCTCAGAAAAATAAGAATGCAGCCACTTTGTAACCCATGGCTTAGTGTGAGCTATGGCAAGCTTATTTAACAAAAGTGGTCTAGGAACAGAGTCAAAGGCTGATGAGTAATCCAAAAAGGCACAATGGACATACTTAACACCTTTGTCGAGACTAGAAACAATATTACAATGCAAGACAGTGGCTGCATCTAAAGTACTTCTTCAGTGTTTGTAAGCAAACCGTTTTGGATCTCTGAAAGCCATCAATGAAGGCTCAATCACAAGGAGAAGTAATTTCTTCACTGTTTTCAGAAAAGGGGAAGTTATAGCGATGGGTCGAAAAGTAACATCTGATCCAGAAGATGGCAGAGGTACAATTTTTATCTGCTTCCAAGCAGTGGGTAGTATGTTTTTAGAAAACGATACATTGAAGATATCTGTAAGTGGATGACACAAAATATCTGCACATTTTCTAAATGTAATACTAGAAACACCATCAGGACCTAAGCTTTGAGAGGGATTCAAGGACTTTAGACATTTAAATACATCATTTGTATTAAAACCTGGAAAGCAGCTATCCACTTGACTTTGGACATTAGGAAGGGTGAAATTAGCTTGCCGACGTATAAATGACTTGTTTAACGCACAGACATCCGAACGAGTTTGTGTTGTCATCTGTTTTTTACCAGTAAGCTCTTTAAATAATTTCCATATATTGGAAGAGTTCTTACACGATAAGAACTTCTGTTGTATATAGTATTCAGACGTTGTATTTCAGACTTAATTAGGCAGTTAAGCCTTTTAACGCCAGGGTGATCTCTCGCCTTATACAACCTTTCCTTTTCTCTCCGGAGCCTCTTGAGATGAAGAGAGGAAAGTCTGTCAAATCTCATTTAAATTGTTTCAGTAGAGCAACAGATATCGAGACAGAATCTGAGATAACCTGTGATATTGGTGATAGTGTTGTCTAAAACTTCATCAGCAAATATATTCCAGTCCGTTTCTATAAGCATACTTCTCAAACGCAATATTTTCTTGTGAATAGCATCTGTATTGAACTTTCCTGGAAAGGTATCCAAAAGCTTTCTTGTATAATTTGCCGTACACTTTAGGCAAAGCACAAACAATACAGTGGTCGGAATTTAGCAGCGGAGCCCGTTTACGGGCTTCATATATGCCAGATTCATTTGTAAATGCAAAGTCCAAGGTGTTGTCAAGACGAGTGGAAAAGTTAACCATATTTTTTGACCCAATGATAATAGAAAACTGTAGTCACATGAGTTAAAATCTCCACAGACAATAGACAAGGAGTTTCCCAGAACCGGAGCAGTAAATTCAGTGAATTTATCAGCAAAAGTTGACAACTCTGAGAAACTGCAGTCAGGTGTGACATACATGTCTGTTATATATTTGTATTTGCTCAAATGTTTGGGACAACATTTGATGGTAATGCAATCAATTTTTTCGTTAGAGAAGCATAAGCATACATAGTTGGAGTAGGACCAGTTTGCACTAATAAATGTTGCTACACCACCACCACCACATTTCTTCGAAAAGCTTCGATCTTGTCGAAATAATCGGAAACCATCTAAGCAGACTAGATCATCATCATACAGGTTATGAAGTCATGTTTCCTGTAGCATTATTACACCCGTGTTTCGATAAACATTTGTGGAAAAGAGTGACTGAAGGTAATCAACTCTATTCGGCAACGACCTGTAGTTTGTGCTAAGTATTTTCAGAATAGTCATTTGATCTGTGGTCATACGCTTTAGCGCCGTTGTCATTCACCGTGGTGCTTCATCTTAAATTTCCTATCAACTTGCGAAGCGATAGGCTGTAATGATTTTAAAAACGCCGAGAATACACAATACGATTGGTTGACATAATTGGACGATTAAAACAATATAGAAACGAGAAATTTTATGCAATATATTCTGTGATAAAAAAGGTAGCCCAGACTTCTGGCTGGCTGCCTAGCCGACAGTTGTCGTCATGGTGTATCTGCAACCTCTACGGAACTTATGTCTCGCACAATACCTAGGTCTGTAGCTTCTTGTTGTTTTTATTCCATCCAAGTCACATTTACGAAATGATCACTCATATTCTTTCTCGTTTTAACATCTTTTCCCCTTGCCAACTGCTTCTGTTTGGACATTGTAGATGGCAGTAATCCTAGTGAGGATATCAGTAATGTCGTGTTGTCTATTTGTTAGCTGTTGCTCAATCGTTGATTTACTTAACTATGAACTGTTAAATGGTGGGTAATCTGGTTATATCACTAACCTCTAGGCAATGTGTAACCCGCAATTTTTTGCATATGGATCGACTGTAATTGGCGTGTTGCATTATGCACAATAATTAAATGATTTAATGAAATATTGGAGCTGTAACTTATTGATTTAGATGATCAATTTACAGCTTGTCAGTCATGGTCTGAGAACTGTTTGGACTATCTATAGAAAAAGAAATGTGTCTCGAAGGCAAGTATACGAACCTGTATTTGGTTGTTAAGTTGTATGAAGTTGTGAAGTGAAATCATTTCTTGTTTATTGATACTTGTAATTTCCCATAGCTATACTGGGTCGAATTAGTCAACTTCTGTTTTTAGATGGGTTACCACACGGATGCCTCGATATTTCCTGAATAATAATTACACTATAGTTTACTTAGTGGCTAGCTGTAGAATCCAGAACGCGTGTTTTGTCTTATTTTGAACTCGCCAGCTGGATTACCTGCACCCCAGTGAATGGTGGCGTTCCCAGTGGGTTCGTTTCTCAGTGGGAATACCTTCATTCACTGTGGTACAGGTATATCCAGCTGACGAGTCCCAAACAAGACGAAGTACGTATCCTGGTTCCCTTTGCCAAGCCATCAAGTAAGCTACGAAATAAAGTGGTTTCTATTTTCAATCAATGAGTTTCATTGATACAAATGATAATGTTGTAAAACTTGTGGTCATTGGTGTGTATGCTTCTTAAATTGTGTTCACTTGTTTTATTTCATGAATTTACAGATTTTATTATCGAAATGTAAATCAGACGAGGAAAAAAATGAATTATTCTCTGCATGTGAAATGCTTGTCACTGGTGAACAAATGGGTAGTCGATTTAAATTTGTAGGGATTACACCAGAATTGGAATCGGGATCACAGATAGACAAATGTAAACTACCCGGATTCACTCCACTTCCTGGTACACCATATGCACAAGAGGATTTTGTATAAATATGCTAATGACTATTAATTGTTGCTCTCCTCCTCCTTCTTCTTCTCTTTTGTTTCTCTTTCACTCCTGGAGGGAGAGACAGTGACTGCAGGTGGATTAAATGATCCCTTTAAACTTTGTAAAAATGGAACTTGAGTTTTATCGTTTATTTGTACCGTTTGCTAATACTTGTGAATGTAAATATGCATTATTACTAAACAGTAACATGATAATAATCATTGAAGTTAATATCTTCAAAGTCTTAGAATTTACTGTGATCACGTATGTGATTGTTTGTTAGTAGATAACTGATATCTAGTGCTTAGCGCTGATTGTAGTGCATGGATCAAGTTTCCAACGTTATCCTCAACCAAATTGGCTTAGTTGTTATATCTCTGACTTCGTCACTGTATGACTCAAGTTTAAATAATAGAGGATCCCCAGTTAGTGCGTACTCCTGATGAGTACCAACAACTACGAAACCTGTGTTGAACAAGATATCCTGCTGACTAACTCCCGACATCTAACACCAAAGGATTCAATAAAATGAGTATTTTATTACTCAGTTAAGCATAAAAACCCTAGGATAGATTTCATGTGGAAATAGATCAAATTGATTCCATTGAATATTCACTGGATGAAGTTAAACTTTTAATGCTGGACAATAACAAACGCTTAAAAAATACCCAAGAAATTCGGAACCGAAGCGAACAAGCGATCTCTCAACAATAAACCAAACGCTCAAGTTAGACGGAAACTTCGAAACACAGATCTATATCAATAGACAATACTGAGTAATAAAATACAAACTTCGAATTGTGGTGTATCCACAGGTTTAGCGCTATCAAAGCACTTTACAAAGAGTACGTCAACAATTGGAACAGCAAAGCTGTGTCCAAGCCACCAGAAGGGAATATAAAGAGCGTGTGTAAGTTTTCACGATGAGGTAAACAAATGTTTAAGGTAAAATAGGACATCAGGGAACAACAAAAGAAATTACAACACCATCGTAAACTGTGAAATATATATAATATCCACGGGTGTTAAATGATAAACAAGAAATGATTAAACAGAATGAACAGTGAAGGATGTAGATGAAGCAACATTATAAGGAAATATGAGCTATACTACCTAAAAACACTAAGTAGTATAAAACTGGAGATATAAAAGGGATACAAGGCCAGCATCCCATTAAGTAAACGAGAACAAGTAATGAACAAGTAGTTGCTTTGTTCCAAACAATATGTATGACAACATGGAATTCTCAGCATGTAATTTTCCAACGAATTCACTCCCAGAACTATACTTTCAGACAAAACGGTTATTGCATCTGCATGATGTTAGCAGTAACAGTAATCAAGGCAATAATGTGAAACAGCCAGCTGGTTCTGGATGGGTTTCCGGTCTACAATGAAGACGGTACAAAACTCTGCAACTCAAGCTAAGTATCTAACGGATAGAAATATGATGTACTTTTTTGTACTGAAAAGTCCACTTCCAAATGACGTAATATTTTTCCCTTCTTTGTTATTGACTTGAGAAACAGATAGTTGGAAACAGTTTTAAAATGTGCAAGAGTAAATGATACACGTTCAAAAGACATATTTAGATGATTAAAACGAACTGAAAAGAAAGGATTTTATAAAAAATGTTCGATGGATAGAGTTGGTAACCCAAGGTTCAAGCAGGCCGCCGTGAGAAAGGAGTTAAAAGTAACACTGATAATACAAGTAAATTGAGTGAATCAACACTCTTACTAAAATCTCTCTAGACTCAACCTTGAAGTCTTAAGGCAGTATTTATGGTAGAATTAAGTCAGTTGGAGAACCATTAAAACCTTAGAGCACTTGATATCTGTTTCGTCTCAGTACTGAACTCCTCATTAGAGCACACCTTCGTCCTTAATGTCAGTTCATCATAGCTACAACGTTATAATTAAATCTATCCCTAAAGACCTTTAAATATCGAAATCTTGTACAATGAGGTATCCACATGTATTTCGATTCAAGATCGGTCTTTGGATTATTTTCATTGTCTTGTAATGATTGTCTTGTAATGTAGTGAAATAACACAGAAAACTTCAAAGTTTGTCTCTGTTGTTTTCCAATGACATAACGGATTCGGGAAACTAACGGTTCATGAAAAAAAGATACAAATACAGTGCAGTTCATATGGTGTTAATTTATAAAATAGAAATCGAATTGAAATACACTCAACGACCTTGTACACATTTATGGAGTATTGTCAACGATCCACACCTAATGTGTGAGGTCTAAGTTACTACTACCTGGCTGCCTAAGCCTTTATAAATGGAGTGATGTTCAAACCCGTGACCCATTGGTTAAAAGTAATCTCATTAAACCTATGAGCTACAGAATAAAGGAACAAATGAAATCCAGGAAGTTAGAAACACCTGTAATGAGTTTTTAAAAACGTTAAACGAAGTTATTTGTACAAAAACCCCATCAAATATCATTAGGATTGGCGATATAGTGATCAGGAATTAAACTGACTTGGTCAGATAACGACATTCAGATGATGTTAATTTGTTTACATTATTTTCTATATGAACTTCGAATCACGCTCATTTTGTATTTATCATCATCACACACATATCCAGCTGTTTTTTCTAGTATCATTTCAATTGGAGAAGTTGCATTTACAGTTCGATTCTTGTGAACAGTCACCACTCAATCATTCTGTCAATCAGTATAGTTAGTCAAACAATATGCCTTATCTCAGCATTCACCATGTATATTGCACTCAATCCACATTGGCCTGGATAACTGGGTGGTATAGTAAACCCTCAGAAAATGTATGTAACTCATTGCTTCGTACATAAAAATGTACTGAATTGATTTACATCTTATTTATTACAACAGTTGCCTAGTAATGCTGTAAATCTCTATAAAGAAGGACGGTGATCCATCGTGATGGATTATGTACTCCTACAGTTTATTGTAACTGCTTAAACATTTATTGAGCCAAAGAAAATTTTACATACGCATGAAGTGACAACGCTCAGATAGGTGCTGGTGTATGTTGAATATATCTTGATCATTTCAAAGTGCGTATAATCGTTACCCACTCTTTTGAACACAAGAATAATCTTATGCTTAATTCTTCAAAATGTCAGATCATAAACCAGTTCCAGACGTGAACATAACCTATGAAAACTGCTTAGTTCTCATGATTCCCGTTCTATTGATAACTATGCATTAGAAAATGTTACAAGTGTGATTTATCTCGGGGTGTTTTTGCTCAGACGTTTCCTGGTCCTCCCATACACCTTACTCATTTCCAAAAGAATTTTCCACCTAACTTTCTATATTAGGAAGCTGAGAGTATCTGGTATAACTCAATCTCTCCTCTCGTATTTATAAACTCATGGATCTTACCTATTTTCCTCTATTGTCCCCCTTTATTTTTCTGCGGTTTGCTGAGAAAAGACTGTGTTATATTGTGTAGAACTTTGCAGATTATCAGCAGAACTAGTTAGTGGTGTACCTCGAAACCTTCTAGTTCAAAAAGTTGTGGACAAACATATTAACTCATGTAAACATCTGGTAGGAGTTATTTCTTAAGATGACTAGCATCCTCTTCACTGAAAGAATTTTACGTGTCGGTCATCTAGAAAGACAAGGAGCAAGTACATAAGACTTTATGCATGTACTACAAAATATAAAAACTCTACGATATCGTATTTAGCTGGTCTGCTGTGTGATGAAGAAAAGACTAGAAATGAACTAACTGACTAATCAACTTATGTTTTTGAAAACAAACTGATTTATGAGTACACAGTATGTCACTTTTCGCGTATTATGTGTCTAATTGCTAATGTGATTGTCCACTTAAATTGAATGCACATTTTCAAGAAAGTTGTAGATGGAGTGAATATTCTCATCTTTTTCTTATTATATACTTTCTATCTATTCCATTTTGATATGTATACATGCACACTGTCTCTGTCCAACTGACGCTATGTAACATGCCGAAAATTCTGTTAAGTATTTCCGAACTACCTTTCAGAATAAAGCCATTATTATTATATTATTATTATTATTATTATTATTATTATTATTATTATTATTATTATAGCTGTAATCGATCGATATCAGTTATGGCCTTATACTGTCTATCTCAACTGTTATCAACTTCCCATTCTGAGAATTATGATAAGCCAAAGAATTGTATGGATGTTTGTGACTCAACGACCATTGAGTCAATGTGTAGACGCTCCTTATGAACTTAGTAAATGCATACACTGAACAAGTGTATTTCAAGGACAATCCATAGAACTGATAGGACTGTTCTAGCCAGATAATTCAGTGAATTATACGATTTAAAATCTAAATGATATGAATTGCAAATTTCTTCGTAAAGTAACATATCCAGGCCACGGGAACTTGTAATCTATTTGACATCACCAAAGAAAACAAGACTGGCTGCATGAAAACTTAATAAAAGAAAATTCTCTTTTCGATGAATTCTAGTTACTACAAAAGTTAGAAATATAGACCATTGGGTTGCCACCCGGTAGCTCAAAGGCAACGTGCTGGCCACGGGACCTGGAGGTCGAGGGTTCAGTCCCTGGCTGGGTCGTTGGTGCGCACTGCTGAGGAGTCCCATACTAGGACGAAACAGCTGTCCAGTGCTCCTAGGTCTCCTTTGTTCCTCCAATTGATGTCAGTCTACGATGAATAACAACTTGAAATGCAATATATATATATATATATATATATATATATATATCCATCAACAGCTAATGGGCCAATACAAGGTTATCAAAAATAGTCAATAAAGTCATTGGGTGATAACGGCTAGAAGGTCAACTCTTGGTCGTTAAAAATTGCTTATGAGATTACAATAAATAAACAAAGAAATGAATAAAATATATCTTAAGGAGATAACGAACAAAGTAAAATTAGAGATTGAATGTATCTCTTCCGAACTCAAACATCAGGCCTAAACTGATAAAATTCCCAAACGTTGTTGTGTTGAGATGACGAATATACACTCCGTTCAAAATGTTAGACTTCACTTTATAAATGACTTTAAAACAAGATTCTCATAGACCGAAGTGATCAAACTTAACTGAATGCTCAAGAATCGAGTTTTTGATAGCTTTACACTCTCCTTTAGACAATCATACAGTATAGTGTTTGGAGATGAGTTTGAATAGAACACACATGGAGGTGAATGGTTGACGTTTAGTACCCGACACACTTCTTCCCCCTAATTTGTTTAAGATGGAAAAAA